GATGTGGGGGGGAGGGGCGGGGGGGGGTGGGGGGGGGGGGGGGGGGGGGGGGGGGGAGAACATTAGCCAGTGCTAGCTTAAAAGCCACTTCCCCCAGCATCATCTCCTGAGCCGCCTGCCCCTCTGCCTGTGAACAGGGGCTGCTGGACTCAGCCTGGCAGCTGTTACTACATTTGAAATGCAGCACCACAGCGTAGGTGGCTCCCAGAGCCAGCACGAGCAGAGACTGAGCCGGGACTGAGCAAGCTGCCTCCCAGAGCTACCCCCACTGCAGCTTTGCAGAGTGGTCCCTTATCAACTAATCATGTAGTCCAGGGCTACTTAACTTTGGAAGGCCCAGGGGCCACAATGATACCCACAGCACATGCTGAGGGCTGCAATTTAAGCACGGTTGCAAATATACGCAAATAGCTTTGATACTGACGGGCATGAATACAAAGACTAAGGCAAGACTACACAACGCGCAGGCCCCATTTAAGTCACATCTGCTGATCATAATAAAATGCAATATTTACCTGATTTCCACGCATCTGACAACACTTTTTAGTGAGCAATTGAACTACTAAAAAACGTATCAACAGAAGACCATTATATTGATTACTACCCAAGCACCAACCCCAGCACAGACCTTTCTCACCCTGGTCTCATTGCCTGGCTCCACCGTTGCCTCTGTCTTGCTGCCCAGCTCTGCCACTGCTGTCACATGTGTCTCTTGTCGCCCCCAGCAGCTCTTGTGCATGTGCCGACGTGGCCTGGCTCAGGGAGGCACTGCCACTGTGGCAGACGCGACAGGTGTGCTTTACAGCCACCTATCGCCGCCACCCTCCCCGCTGCATGTTGAGTAGCCCTGATGTAGTCGATACAATTTGTATTGACTACACAATTAGCCAGATAACCACAATGTAATATCCTTAATTTAAAGATTAAACTGAAGAGCCAGGTTCTGTGTCTGGACTGTCACAGACCTGTGTGCTGTGTGGATGGGCTGTAGAACAGGACACAACACACACTGTATCTGACCTTAATGGCTCTGTGATGATTTATGTGAGATACACAGGGCTCTTTCCAGTCCAGTTCCCAGTGAATGGGTATCCACACTGGAGGAAAAACGGCTCTACCGTTGGGACTGTTGCTGGCACACCCAAGCAGAGATGGGAAGAACTGAATGGATCTTAGGATCTAAACTACACTCTCACCCTAGAGAGGCTTAATGCACATTGGTAAAGGAGAGGTGAGGAAGCTGTCTGGATTTTTGGAACCTGTGATACAGAAGACAGAGGATTTCATTCTCCAGGGACTTCCATTTGCAACTAAATGAGCACTAAATTCACATGAAAATGATTAGTATGAACCACTATGACAATTCCTACTCACTTATTGGGAATGAGGGCACTTGACACCACCTACTTGGGCCCTCAATGCCTGCTCCAACCCCATTTAGGATTAGATATAATTTGTGCTGCAGCTGTCTGATGTGCTTCGTCATTGCAGATTCCCCTGTTGTTGTGCTTGGGAAGAAGTTACTATGGCATCCCACACTAATTAAGCATACGCAGCTTTTCATTTGACGAGTCATTCTGGGCATGGCTCAGAATGTCTGAGTACTTTATTCACAGGAGAAATAACACTGTGTGGTGATGGGCATTATACTAAGAATATCATGATTTCACAATATAGCATCACACACCATAAAGGGGTAATCTTCACAATAACATGAGTAGATCTCATTTTGCTCTCCCAATTGCTGTTTCTCTAGAGCAGGCTACCCATACTAATAAAACTTCTACCTGAATAGAAATGGCTGATGGGCATACACACCACATCTCTTAATTTATAAGTTATCTTCCATGGCATATGACTTTCGACAATTTTGTTCCTCAGGCACAATGTAAATTACTGTCAGGATAAAGCTCATTTGTGCAGGAGACAGATTGCTCGGGGCTGCTCCTTAGCTGTAGGACAAACTGCCAAGGGAGCTGAGGATCAAAACAAATCTCCACCACCTTCCATTACATATTGAAGGCTCATTTTTTTTAACCTTGTATTCTCTAATAAATATACAGTGTTATGTAATTAAACAT